CAACGGAAAAATATTATAAAACCCAAAATAACATGAAAGGATAACAAAACCAACCAAAGAGATGATAAAGCCCATTGATGTGGTAATTTCCGTTAGCGCCCTCTATCTTCAGCAGAGAATTATTATAAAACAAATAAAAACGTATAACGATAACCCATCAAAACATAATAACAAAGCCCTGTCGTAATTCCTTTGGCCCAGCGCCCTTTATCTTCAACGGAAAAATATTATAAAACCCAAAATAACATGAAAGGATAACAAAACCAACCAAAGAGATGATAAAGCCCATTGATGTGGTAATTTCCGTTAGCGCCCTCTATCTTCAGCAGAGAATTATTATAAAACAAATAAAAACGTATAACGATAACCCATCAAAACATAATAACAAAGCCCTGTCGTAATTCCTTTGGCCCAGCGCCCTTTATCTTCAACGGAAAAATATTATAAAACCCAAAATAACATGAAAGGATAACAAAACCAACCAAAGAGATGATAAAGCCCATTGATGTGGTAATTTCCGTTAGCGCCCTCTATCTTCAGCAGAGAATTATTATAAAACAAATAAAAACGTATAACGATAACCCATCAAAACATAATAACAAAGCCCTGTCGTAATTCCTTTGGCCCAGCGCCCTTTATCTTCAACGGAAAAATATTATAAAACCCAAAATAACATGAAAGGATAACAAAACCAACCAAAGAGATGATAAAGCCCATTGATGTGGTAATTTCCGTTAGCGCCCTCTATCTTCAGCAGAGAATTATTATAAAACAAATAAAAACGTATAACGATAACCCATCAAAACATAATAACAAAGCCCTGTCGTAATTCCTTTGGCCCAGCGCCCTTTATCTTCAACGGAAAAATATTATAAAACCCAAAATAACATGAAAGGATAACAAAACCAACCAAAGAGATGATAAAGCCCATTGATGTGGTAATTTCCGTTAGCGCCCTCTATCTTCAGCAGAGAATTATTATAAAACAAATAAAAACGTATAACGATAACCCATCAAAACATAATAACAAAGCCCTGTCGTAATTCCTTTGGCCCAGCGCCCTTTATCTTCAACGGAAAAATATTATAAAACCCAAAATAACATGAAAGGATAACAAAACCAACCAAAGAGATGATAAAGCCCATTGATGTGGTAATTTCCGTTAGCGCCCTCTATCTTCAGCAGAGAATTATTATAAAACAAATAAAAACGTATAACGATAACCCATCAAAACATAATAACAAAGCCCTGTCGTAATTCCTTTGGCCCAGCGCCCTTTATCTTCAACGGAAAAATATTATAAAACCCAAAATAACATGAAAGGATAACAAAACCAACCAAAGAGATGATAAAGCCCATTGATGTGGTAATTTCCGTTAGCGCCCTCTATCTTCAGCAGAGAATTATTATAAAACAAATAAAAACGTATAACGATAACCCATCAAAACATAATAACAAAGCCCTGTCGTAATTCCTTTGGCCCAGCGCCCTTTATCTTCAACGGAAAAATATTATAAAACCCAAAATAACATGAAAGGATAACAAAACCAACCAAAGAGATGATAAAGCCCATTGATGTGGTAATTTCCGTTAGCGCCCTCTATCTTCAGCAGAGAATTATTATAAAACAAATAAAAACGTATAACGATAACCCATCAAAACATAATAACAAAGCCCTGTCGTAATTCCTTTGGCCCAGCGCCCTTTATCTTCAACGGAAAAATATTATAAAACCCAAAATAACATGAAAGGATAACAAAACCAACCAAAGAGATGATAAAGCCCATTGATGTGGTAATTTCCGTTAGCGCCCTCTATCTTCAGCAGAGAATTATTATAAAACAAATAAAAACGTATAACGATAACCCATCAAAACATAATAACAAAGCCCTGTCGTAATTCCTTTGGCCCAGCGCCCTTTATCTTCAACGGAAAAATATTATAAAACCCAAAATAACATGAAAGGATAACAAAACCAACCAAAGAGATGATAAAGCCCATTGATGTGGTAATTTCCGTTAGCGCCCTCTATCTTCAGCAGAGAATTATTATAAAACAAATAAAAACGTATAACGATAACCCATCAAAACATAATAACAAAGCCCTGTCGTAATTCCTTTGGCCCAGCGCCCTTTATCTTCAACGGAAAAATATTATAAAACCCAAAATAACATGAAAGGATAACAAAACCAACCAAAGAGATGATAAAGCCCATTGATGTGGTAATTTCCGTTAGCGCCCTCTATCTTCAGCAGAGAATTATTATAAAACAAATAAAAACGTATAACGATAACCCATCAAAACATAATAACAAAGCCCTGTCGTAATTCCTTTGGCCCAGCGCCCTTTATCTTCAACGGAAAAATATTATAAAACCCAAAATAACATGAAAGGATAACAAAACCAACCAAAGAGATGATAAAGCCCATTGATGTGGTAATTTCCGTTAGCGCCCTCTATCTTCAGCAGAGAATTATTATAAAACAAATAAAAACGTATAACGATAACCCATCAAAACATAATAACAAAGCCCTGTCGTAATTCCTTTGGCCCAGCGCCCTTTATCTTCAACGGAAAAATATTATAAAACCCAAAATAACATGAAAGGATAACAAAACCAACCAAAGAGATGATAAAGCCCATTGATGTGGTAATTTCCGTTAGCGCCCTCTATCTTCAGCAGAGAATTATTATAAAACAAATAAAAACGTATAACGATAACCCATCAAAACATAATAACAAAGCCCTGTCGTAATTCCTTTGGCCCAGCGCCCTTTATCTTCAACGGAAAAATATTATAAAACCCAAAATAACATGAAAGGATAACAAAACCAACCAAAGAGATGATAAAGCCCATTGATGTGGTAATTTCCGTTAGCGCCCTCTATCTTCAGCAGAGAATTATTATAAAACAAATAAAAACGTATAACGATAACCCATCAAAACATAATAACAAAGCCCTGTCGTAATTCCTTTGGCCCAGCGCCCTTTATCTTCAACGGAAAAATATTATAAAACCCAAAATAACATGAAAGGATAACAAAACCAACCAAAGAGATGATAAAGCCCATTGATGTGGTAATTTCCGTTAGCGCCCTCTATCTTCAGCAGAGAATTTGCAGTTATATCAATATATCACATACAATGACAAACAACTAATCGCACAAACTACACAGATCTCTCTAATCTGAACAAAATCTACAAACAAAATACTGTCAATTACTACCAAGTTTCCAGCGACCAAAGAGCCACAACATTAACAAATCACAAACTGAGGAGATGAACACAACGCCTGCTGGCCGTTGCGATGAACACTCGGTCTTACTGGCTTGTTTTCCGTTCGACAGATACTCGTTTTACCTTTCAGAGGGGTGTGGAGGAGGCATGTCTTTAGTGCGAGATTGGCCGCGTCTAGAGGAAGTAGGTATACGTGTGCAATTATCCCCTCTCCCACACACACACTATTAAACAGACACACACACAAATAAACAAACAAACAAACGAATTTTCAGTCTACGTCTTACGAGCTGAACCTTTCTCCCCGTAGCGTAGAATGGTGTCTTTTCCTCCCCTTTTCCCTTTCTTTCTCTTCTTCATCCCATTCTTCTAACCACCTTTCCTAATCGTTAACCCATTTCTACCCATTTCGCCACATTACTTTATCATAATGCTATTCTTGGAGGCTTCGCCCCGAAGCCCCACCCTATAGGTGTATTTTGATACGCCGCTAACGACCTAGATGTTGACGCGGCAGAAAAAAATCAATCAATAAATAAATGAATATTCTATCAATTTCAGAACAGGTTCCGAGCGTATTACTCATTCCCAACAGTCGAAAATGGCAATTAACTGCAGCACAAAAAAGGATCGAACCATCAAAATCACACGAAAGCAAAAGCAACTGCAGCAACAATCATAATTCTCGAGAACCTGTATATTGCAAAGTACAGTCTTAAAGTTGCAATGAAATGTGGGCCCAGGATGGATCATCACTTTCCACACGATGCCTTTTATCAAAAAGGAATCATTGTCAAACAATTTATATCAAAACCAAGTCTTGTTCCAGCCTGTCCTACTCCTACTTAGGGTACAAGTGATGGTTAACGTGATTCATAACAATGCAGTTTAGGTTAAACTACGAACCTACGTCAACAGGTACATAAGCAAACACAAAATCGAACGGGAAAAGAGATTTTGAACTCTTCAGTCACCCGGAGGAAGACGACGTGAAACTGCGTGTTATTCCTCGTATAACCACAATCTATGAAGCCAAGAGTGCCAAACGTTAACGGCGTGACTTGAGCCATGGGGGCGTGAAATCCAACTACGCCGGCAGGGACAGTTATGAGTTGAATCTACGAGGTGATGCAGGGCCCAAGGACATGGCGTTTCAAGACGAGGAATAAATGTAAGACAAGATAAACGTGTTGAGGAAACAAATTGTGATGAAGCTATGTTAGATTATTATGTGATTTCTGTTGATCTGGAAATATGTATCTATATATATCTATACACATTTTTATCTATCTATACAATCATCTGTGTATCTATATGGGTATGTTTTTGTGCTTATGTGTGTGCATTTATTGTGTTCGTGCATATACATTTGTGTGTGCATTTATTGTGTATATACATTTGTGTGTGTATATAATGTGTACGTGTATATACATTTATGTGTACATTTATTGATTTATTGTTGTGTCTAATGTTATCATGGACCTTTCCTTATTCAATTATTACATCAGAATATAAAGTGTTGTGTCCCATTAACATATATATTCAATAACTGATTACGCTTTCGAAACTTCATCTCACAGAGTAAATACAGCGGCTTCCTCTCAACATCCCGTTTTCTTGCCCGAATGTTTTCTCTTTATTTGTCCATTATTTTCATGATATTCATATACATATTTTCCTTTCTATGTGTGGCGTTTCGGAACCAAAGCCATTATAAGAAAAAAACAGAATTTCACTCAAAATAAAACAACCATTTTATTTATTCATTTATTCAGTAGAACATAACAGTAATCAAGAAAAAGTTTTAAAGAGTATACACAAAAAGTGAACGATAGGAAATCACACGGAATGCGGAAGTGAAAAAAAAGAAAAGGGAAGAAGAAGGAGATGATAACTGAAAAGGAAACGAGTAAAAAGGGAAGCATAAGACAGAAAAGAGAGAGAATAAAAAACGATGATAATGTTATTTAATCACGTCGAATTGAAAATAGTCTAATAAAAAGGAAAAAAGTTGTTAATCAAATTAACCTCTATGTTAATTTATCGTTAATGCCCCAATCTGCTACGTGGAGTGGTGATTCGGGAAACTAATTACCGTCCCCAGACTATTAGCGAAATTAGAATGTGGATAAAAATGAAGAAGAGGAAAATGAATTAAATAATCACTTTTGACTAGATATCTTGCATACTTATTCGTCAGTGAATCTAGCATTTATGGAAAAGATTTTTTAAAAATAAATAAAAAACAGAACAAAACGTAAGAATTAATGCCCGCCGGTACACTTTTTTTCACGGGAGACACGCTCAGTCGACCCCGTTATAATGGATATCTCGAAGGACATCCCCGACGAGTCCTCCGGCATCCTCCCCGTGCTCCTGCGTGTCGTTCCCGCTGTTGGCGTCCTTCGAGTACTTGTGGGCCTTGGAGCACGTGGGGAACCTGGCGCAGGTGTGCTCGCTGCGCCCCGCCGCCGCCGCCTCGAGGGCCAGGTGGAAGCGCTTGTTGTCGTCCCACGAGAAGGCTTTGCCCATGACGTTGGACAGCAGGGAGGCCACCATGCGGCCCACGACGCCGTACTTGAGGGAGAGCTGCGCGTTGGCGTCGCAAAGCGGCCTCTGGAGGCAGTGGGGAGCCTCCGTGGCCTCCAGCAGATCCACCTGGAGGGTCGGCGAGGCGGGCGGGAAGAGGGTTATTTAGGGTTTCTTTGACTTTCTTATTGAATATTAATTTTTTGACAATTATGAAGAACTATGTACACAGACGGAGCTTGTCTCCGTCTAAGATTAATCTCTTATTTCCTTGCCCGACACTCGTCTCTGACAAGCTCGTACCATGAGAGGAAGGACGACCTCCGGCAGCCCCTCCTTCAGCGAGGCGAGGCCCCCGTTGTGCACGAAGGCGAAGACGTCGCTCTCCTCCTCAGCGTCGCGCCTCTTTCGTCCGCTGGTGATCTGCTGGATCACGTCCTGGCGAGGAGGCGGCAAGGGGGCGGTGGGTGAGACACAGGGAGGATAAAAGGGAAAAGGGAAAAGGAAAAACGGAATAGAAGTCTCCTGCGTGACCGAGGTGGCTAAGGAGGCGGTGGGGGAGAAAGAGAAATCCGAGAGGAGAAAAGGAAAAGGAAAAAGAAAGTCAAAGAAAAAAGAAATGGAAAAAGACGAAAAAAGAAAAAAAAGGTAATGAAGAAGAAAGAAAAGAAAGAAAGAAAATGAAAACGAAAAACAAAAAACAAGAAAACAAAAGAAGAAAAAAGACTAGTGATGTTGGAGACGGACGGAGCGAGTGTTGGGTTCTGGTGTCTCTGTGGATATGTCTGTGGCCTTTGTGTCCGGCCCGCGTGTTCCAGAGACGGGGCGGTGTCACTGGCAAGTCTTTGCTTCCACGGAATACGGGGAGAGAGCTTCATTTCTATGTTTATTTGCGAGAGAACGGTTTTGTGCAAAACATAATTTCTTGGCTGAGGTTTGGTAGTAGATACGGACGTGGGGCGCCCACGTGGAAAGACATTTGCGCCGCAGCCGTGAGACGATAACGATAACATCTCCCATCTCAGATTGTCGCAATATTTCCGTCTCAAATTCGGAAACTTCAAGCCACGGCCTAACCTGCTCGCTTCCCCAAAACGACCCAATGCCGGCACCAATTCA